GTTAAATAAATAAACAAATAAATAAAAATAAATTTAATTTAATTAATTTTACAATCATGTACATTGCAAAATAAGAAGCCGAGTTTTCAGAAAATTTCTTTTATTAAGTCGGGTAAATCAATATAATCATTTCCTTCTGAAAGTATTCGGAGTAGGGTGTCCTGGACATTAATTTTAAATTTTTTTTTGGACATTTAACGCATTTCACACGGTAAACTATTCCAGATATTTACACCATAACTTGAAAGAGACTTTGTTTGTCTAACCTTGAGTGTTTAACATAATGGTCACCTCTTGAAGATGATCTTGTATTATATGAATGAATATTAGATGGGGAAGCAAATAAGTTAGACATGTTAGTAGGTGTTAAGCTGTTAGAAATATCATGCATTAGAATAGCAACGGATTTAAAGTAGAGTAGATCCATGGAAAATAGAAAGACTGGGTCTTTCTATTATATCCATGGTAGATCTAAGGGAAGAAAAATATGGTACTGCATGAGAATTGTAGTCACCAAAGAACATGAGGCGGAGGGCGCGTTTTTCAAGAAAGTGAAGAATGAGAATTTTGTTTTTGTAAGTTTTAGCAGCTTGGCCCCAAACGACAATGCCATACAATAAGTAAGGCTGAATAAGAAATATGTCAGGAGCCCAGTTTATCAGGCAACACTCATGGTAATACAGGTCAGTTGCAAAGGAAGACTGCAATTTGTCAAATTTCGGAACTAAAGCATTCCTCTTTAGTTGCTACTTAGGTCATCGCTTTTGCACGCGGTGCTTAACTGGCGAAATCCACTCCATGGTGATGACAAAAATCAAATGATCCTGGTACTTTTTCGGCGCTGATCATCGAAAAGTTCCAAATCGTCCACAGAACGCTTTTAAAATCGTTGACTCTTTTCGAAGTGCATGCTTACACGTGGGATGTATGACGGCAAAAAAAAAACACTCGCAAAGATAACCTTTCCGTGATCCTCAGTTCGCTGCCTTTGTCCCATCGCTTCATGCTCAGTCGTCAGGTAATTCATTAACTTTTATTTTATGATACCCAGATCCCAGCGGCTGTAAAATCGTAAAAATGGACGTATAGTAAAAAAGGAAAACGGTCGAAGGAGAGGCTTCTGAGTTCGACTTCATCCAACTTTATTTTTTCACGGTGACATACGAGACTCACGGAAATATGACACTTTTCGCGGGAAACAAGCCGTTCTATTTATAAATCTACTCGGGAATGGGATGACTCAAGAAATTAGTGGAGATGGAGGCTCCATTTGATGGGCTCCTGGATATGTATATCTGGTGTAGAGTATTCAGGGGTACAAAGTGTCTAAGGCTGGCAATAATGCCTATTATCATTCGAAGCAAATGTTTCTTTCTTTTCATTGGCCGAGAGCCCACCACATGTCCTGCAAATAACTACCTACAAATAATGGTCTGCTCATGCGCAATGCCGTCCAACTGTGTTTGGCTGCAAATAATATTCCGCACATGCTTAAAGGAAACCGCGCCTTTCTCCTTCTTGCGATCGCTCTTGCGTGAAAATGGCAGATCGCTTCGCTTCCCGAGGATATTCATTAAAAAAACAAACTCGGTGATCGAATGACAAAACAATTATTGAACTCGGTTATCGCATAATATCGTGATTTGTCAGTGTCTCGCAGATCAATTATTTCCCGAAGCCGAATTAATGTACTCGCCATAGACAAATCACGATATTTTGCTCAACCTCGTCCAATAATTGTTAATTGTTTTACTTATTTTTGGAGCGATGTGAGCGATATGGTATTTCCAATAAATATTTTCATCAATAAGGAAACCTAGATATTTGACATAATTTTTGCATTTTAAAGAAATGTATGAGTTGTTATGATGATCAAATACTTTCAAGTTGACTTGGTGATTTAACTTTTTTTGTCTTGGTCTAAGAATGACAAAGTTAGATTTCTTTATATTTAGTGATAATCAGTTATTTGCAATTAGCTGTTATAAACCCTAAAAATTTTGTGCATTAACTGTAGATTCAAGCGATTTGAGATTTTCGTAAGCATATAACAAATTAGTATTATCAGCAAATAAGTAGAACTTCAATTTATCAGAGTTTTCACATATATCATTTATATAAATAAGGAATAGTAAGGGTCGTAGGACCGATCCCTGTGAGACACCTGATAACACTACTTCTTTTTTGGATATGTTTTTAAGACCAATTTTTGTTGTTTGTTGACGACCCACTAGGTATGATGCAAACCAATCATTAATCATTCCACGTACTCCATAATGATTTAATTTTCTTAATAATATTGAATGATATGCTGCGTCAAAGGCTTTTTGCAAGTCAATGAGCACACCACATGAGTACAACTTTTTGTCCATGTCAGTTTCAGTTTTATTAATTGTGTCTAAAAGGCATGCTCAGTAGACCTTTTTTCACAAAACCATATTGTGAATCATGGAGAATGTTGCACTTCTCAATAAATAACTTGAGGCGATTATACATTATCTTCTCGAAGATACGGTTAAAGATGGAGAGGAGTGATATGGGTCTATGATTGGAGGGATCAGATTCATCACCACTTTTGTAAATTGGAATTACTTTGGCAAGCTTTAATTTAGATGGATAGGTTCCAAATTCAATTGATTTATTGATGAGAATTGATAGAGTTTGGCTTATAATATGTTTAGCCAATCTTAAAATCCGAGTGGGAAATTAATACGGCCCGTGTGCCCTGTTTAGTTGAATAGTCATTATTTCAGAATCAATTTCACAAGGAGATACAGGGTTAAAAAAGAATGAACTAGCAAAGTGTAACTTTGGTAGATAACCAGTAAATTGCTCTGGTGAATTTGCTTTGGTGAATTTTCTTTTGTACAAAAAGAAAAATAGAGTAGAAGGAGCGTGACCTTTCAAAACATCTTTTCTTCAATTTCTTTTCTTCACTTTCGTGATGTCTGGTGTGCAGCCCTACTAATAAAGGCAAGCAGAATCTTTGTGGCTGCGCGAAAAAGGCTAATTGACAGTGAGAACTCAAGGGGTCCTTCTTGGCTTTTTGATTGTCATCAAAGTCAAGCCCGCGATATAAAAAAGGGGCTGCCAGTCCGAAATCCGCCGGCTGCTTTTGCAAATTAATAGTTTAATTTCTTTCTTTGAGTCATTCGGCATATATTACATTCCACATAATTATGTCATTCGGCAAGCCATGCCACATGCCATTCCGCAAACACATTTAACCTTTTACCGTCACCGGGAAAACTACGCGGATCAGAGAAAAGAACCGGCAACAAACATTGCAATTGGTCTACTCTGGATTCTCTTGCCGGGAATAGATGTTCTTCATTTCGAGCAAATGCATTCATTTTGGGGTCTGGTTCATGTTTATAAACAATTCCATTCGGTTTTGCCTAAATGACCTTGCGTCTGAAACTCTATATCTTTTCCTCGGGGTGTAGTTGCTTTAATGGTTATTAATAGCGGGAACGCCTTTTGCAAAAGTTAACAACGACAATAAGCTTTATTTGCATCACTTTAAAAAACCGCTACAGTATTGCAAAAGCTACTGACCAAAAATTATTGATAATTTTTTTAAGTTGATTAAATTGACTTATACTAAAATAAAAACCTAATGTTTTCTAAACGAAGTCAAGGGAAACACTTGGACTCGAGAGAAAACAAAACTGTTTCTTTCAAAACGTGGCATAAAGTGCATATTGTTCCACACGGAGTGAAAGCGACCCAAACCGTCCCAGAGACTTAAATGAATGAAAAGATGACAAAAACTATCGCTCTTAATAAAAAACTTTAAAAAGAGGACGAATATCTTATCTCGTGGGCGGGGAAACCGTTAGAAAGAGACCTTGCGCGAGATTGTAACAACATTTGATGAACTGAACCTGACTTGTTCAATTAAATCTGTATAATTGAAAGTGTTTTCCTGGGAGTTAAAGTTACTGCAAATCATCTCCATAACCATAACCTAATCAGACAGCGGCACCCAACGACTCTTTTCTGTAAAATATCTGTTCGGAGAAGCAAATATTATATTGCCTTGAACTTTCTATTACTTGAGAACAGCTAAAAATTTCTAGACGACCATTCCATTCATTTACAATTTTCTAAGCTTATCCGATAAATTCCCCATGATTTTCTGAAGTTCAATTTTTTACCTGTTACTTCCCACGTTAGGCTATTTTTCGTAGAGAAAAAGGAAACCTAAAATTTTCAGATTCAAAAATTTGAGTGAGAGAGGAATCAGAAAATGTTCATTTGCGTGATACGTTACCGGTAAATTGCATCTAAAAATTTCGAGAGGAAGATGCTGAAGCAATTGTAACTTCGTAAAGACTTAATTTCGCCCAGAATAACCGAACGGATACAAATTTTATAGCGCCACCTAGAATGCAGTTTCTAGAGCTCTGGATAGCCTAAAAAGTGTCTTCAATGTATTCAGGAGAAAACCGTCGTTAGTGCCCCTGATCAGATTGATGATCGTGATGTTTAGCTTTTGAACATATTTCTTTGTTTCGCACTTAGGACTCCTGCAAAAAAATATCTGATTCATTGACCAGCAACTGGAGTCGTAACACTCTTTCTCGCTTTAACCCATCAAAGCTCTATAAGTGAGTAGACAACAAATTCATGAAGAGTCAGCATATAACGCAACACATAGCAAAATGGGAAATGGTTACTTAGCTCAAAGAGGACAGCGGATTCTGACAAAAACAAATCTTCGTAACGCACTGCTCATTGGAGTTTTATCCAGCGTGCTGCTTGTTACATATTATCTACTTCAGAGCTCTCGACGACATCACAAGAATGATATAAGCTGGAAAATAAATCCATATGTCACCAAACAAGAACCTTATCGTCGACGTTTCTCACGTTTGCTCTCTCGCAAACGTTGCACCCAAAACGCATTCCTATTAATCTTGGTGCTTTCTGCCCCTGCTAACTCGGACAGGAGAACAGTCATTCGGAGGACATGGGGGAATGATCGATCACTCCAGATGAGATGGAAAACCGTGTTTCTCGTTGGTCAAGCTTTAGACAACAACAATCAGAGTGAAAATATGGCCGCCGAGGGTACGATATACGGAGATATCATACGAGGAAGTCACATTGACCATTATTACAATCTAACTCTGCAGACGCAAATGGGTCTCGAGTGGGCGGCAGGATATTGCGATTTCAGGTATCTCCTCAAAGTGAATGATGATGTATTTGTTAACCCCTATAACTTGTTGGACCACCTGGAAAAGCCTGACACCCAAGTAACTAACCTTTACATGGGACGCTGTTTCTACAGCGCGCCTGTTCTACGTGTTGGCAAACACCGAATAACCAGAGAAGAGTACAGTGAGTCTACTTTTCCAACTTACTGCTACGGGCCAGCGTATTTGTTATCGTCAGATTTAGTCCACAAATTAGTGGAATTATTTGACACTTATACCCCTTTTAGACTCGAAGATGTTTATATAGGCATGTTAATTCGTAAAATAGGTGGAGTTGAGGCTGTAGGTCACTCAAGCTTTCGCACTCAAGAATCTGGTGAGCCGTGCAAACATTTCCCAAATATGTTTGCTTATCACGAAGCTTCCGTAAAGTGTGCAGAGGAATTGTTTGAAGAAGGGATCAAAGAGAGACTAGAGTTAGAATTTAGCAAACTGGGCAATGCTACAGGCTAAAATGGTTTGAAATAAGTAGGAAATAACTATTTAGTGGTGATCTACTTAGAAGATGACAAAGAAGAACATTTAAACCAGGATTTTGATAGGAAATTAAACCCAATTAGGACAAGTTGTGATAGAAGCAGCAGTAGAAGCAGCGTAATAGATAATAACTTTCTAAACCAGAATCAGTTAGAATTTACAAAGAATACTATTCTATTGGTCCAATTGAATGGGACCAATCAGGGGTGCTTTTAGCTTGAAGAACGATTCCGACACCGCGTAGAAAAAACCTCTTACGAAGAAATATTATTTCTGTTAATAGTAACAATTGTAATAATAATAATAATAATACTTATACTAT